GAGAGAGAGAGAGAGAGAGAGAGAGAGAGAGAGAGAGAGAGAGAGAGAGAGTGTGTGTGTGTGTGTGTGTGTGTGTGTGTGTGTGTGTGTGTGTGTGTGTGTGTTTGGACAGACATTGGAGACCTGGGGTTGTTGTAGGCATCCACAATGAGTCTCTCTGTCTTTGACACACTTAAGAGGAGACTTGCTATTCTTCTGCAGAGGCCTTAATCTTAGAGTCCCTGTTCCTGATTCTAGTCATGCCATTAGCTTAGTTTTCTTTCTTCTAAAGTTTTGATCACCATGAGATGCCCTTTGACTTCCTTTTTTTTTATAAATTTTTTTTTTTCAACGTTTATTCATTTCTGGGACAGAGAGAGACAGAGCATGAACGGGGGAGGGGCAGAGAGAGAGGGAGACACAGAATCGGAAACAGGCTCCAGGCTCCGAGCCATCAGCCCAGAGCCTGACGCGGGGCTCGAACTCCCGGACCGCGAGATCGTGACCTGGCTGAAGTCGGACGCTTAACCGACTGCGCCACCCAGGCGCCCCGCCTTTGACTTCCTTTAACTGTTCGATTAAATTTAATCTGCTGACTTTTGGTCATTTTGTTCTCAATTAAAAAAAAATTTTTTTTTTAATGTTTATTTATTTTTTTGAGACAGAGAGAGACAGAGCATGAACAGGGGAGGGTCAGAGAGAGGGAGACACAGAATATGAAACAGGCTCCAGGCTCTGAGCTGTCAGCACAGAGCCCGACATGGGGCTCGAACTCACGGACCGCGAGATCATGACCTGAGCCGAAGTCGGCCACTTAACCGACTGAGCCACCCAGGCGCCCCTGTTCTCAGTTTTTTTAATAGCATTCCTATCTCACCTCTGGCTACAATTCTCTAAGTGTGAAACAAAAAGTGACAAAGGAGAACTGTAGTTCTCATACAGAGTCTGTAAACAAAGCTAATGGGTGATGTATAAGGGGCTTGGGAGGTACTGGGGTGCACCTCTTACAGATATATTTAATACCATCTGAGGTTAGAGATAGGGGGACGCCTGGCTAGCTTAGTTGGTGGAGCATGTGACTTGATCTCGGGGTCGTGAGTTCAAGCCTCAGGTTGGGGTAGAGCCTTACTTTAAAAAAAAAAAAGATAAGAGACAGAGCTCTCTCTCTCTCTGTCTCACAGCTTTTATTTCTGTCTCTGTGGTTACAACACTAAATTCTTGTTTATGAGTTCCCCTCACAGTTGTTTTCTCCTGTTTTTTCTTCACATGTTGTACTGTTGTGTATTTTGTTCTATATTTAGCTTTTTTTTACTTAACGTGTTTATATCATATGCTCCTTCCCATGTTGAATAATCCTCACCCCACTGTCATTTCCTTTCTGTGTCAGCATTTAACATTTTACTCTTTATTACAAAGATGCAGGCTTTACTTATTATAGGTAAAAATAATAAAAATAGAGACAAACAAAAGGAGAAAATGAAAAAGCATCTGTATTCAGAGACAGTCACATCTTAGTGTATGTCCTAAGCAGAGCTCTTCCTACATAGTCATTGTATTTATACATAAGGAAAAGGGATACTATTATTTTTTTTCTCCCTCTCTGTACCTTCCTTTTTCTCTTACAACAATATGGTGACATCTCTCAATGTTATACTTGTATGTCATAGTCCTCACGGTGACACAGTAGTCTGTTGTGTGGCAGATCACAGCACAGTTTAGTTTCTCTGTTATGTTTGCGATCCATTTGCAGTATTTTATATTAAGGCCTTTTCCTGGTCAAACATTTTTGTATTTTGACACCCATTCTTCTTTGTCACTTTTTTCCTAATTCAATTTTAGACTTACAGAAAAGTTGCTAGTAGCAAAAACACCTTTACCAGTTTCAGCAGTTCTTAATGATTTGTGACTTTCTCTCCCTCTATGAATAATGTTTTTCTTTCTTTCTTTTTTTTTTTTTTTATGTTTATTTATTTTTGAGAGAGATAGAGCATGAGCGGGAGAGGAGCAGAGAGAAAGGGATACACAGAATCTGAAGCAGGCTCCGGGTTCTGAGCTTTCAGCACAGAACCTGACATGGGACTCAAACTCATGAACCATGAGATCATGACCGAGTGAAGTCGGATGTTTAACCGGCTGAGCCACCCAGGCGCCCCTTGTTTTTATTTCTAAGCCATTTGAGAGTAGGTGGC